TTTATAACATGCATATACTTTGACACCTTTGTCTGCTGCATCGGCTTCCCGAATGTCAACCGCGTACACGTCATCTCCTGCCGCTACGGCGCGTTTCATCGTGATCGCGTTGACACGCACCGACGAAGACTCAGGCGAGCCCCAGCGAGGTAAGGCGATGTTGTTACCGTTCACTCGCACGGTGCAGTCACCCGTTGTCCAGTCGATTCGCGGGTTGTGTCGTCGCAGCCAATCACGACCGAGTAAAATGTCGGTTCCGTCGAGGGTTGTCGCGAGCATTTCCTGACTAAACGTAAAGTTACCCCCGCATCGAATCCGAACCTGGTCTACGCGTTCCCGTATCGCCAGTGGCGTGCCGTCAACCAGTCCTGCGTTGATCTCAGGTAAACATCTGTCCAGTGGCAGTCTCAGTTTCCGTGCTGTGGCGGTGTTGATCAGGCTGTGGCTGGCTCCCCCGTCTACGAATATTTTAACTAAGTCCGTCCCGATTTTCCCACTAAGCAGTATGGGGCTGTCTATCGTAGTACCCTCCTTATTCGGCCGGGTGTGGTCGATTGCGTGAACCGGCACAATCACTCGGTGAGGGTCGGTTGGGTCGGGCGAGCGGCGTGACCTGTCAGTAGAGGGCCCGTCTGCTACTGACTCCCAGCGTTTCCCTGCTGCTTGGTCTGTTTCTGCTGCTCAGCTTCCCCCTTTCCCTTAGCGTTTTCCGGGCATTTGCTCTTGCGGTGTCCCCGCCGATTGCACGCGAAGCAGCGCCCTTTGAACGGTGCGGCAGCGGCATTCGCGGCGACGGCACGTATCGTAGCGCCCTCGTTCGTCCCACGAGATCGATGTCCCCAGTTACTGCTACTTCCGGTCTCGGTCGGCGGAAAAAAAACAAGTTTCTCCGCCATAGCGAGAATCTCTTGAAAGTCGGTGACGCCGCGAAGCTGGATTTCCTGAGCGATGTCGTGCTTCAGGCCGCCGATGTAGCGGTCGATGCGTTCGCTCTCGTGCATATAACCCACTTGCTCGCATAGCGCCAGAAACCCGCTGGTGTAATCCTGGACGGAACCGAGTTGGCGCCAAGTGCGGAGCTTCTGTCGCGCCGCGATCGAAGCCGCGATTGGCTCAAATCGAGCGCACCACGCGTCCCACGTGCGATATTGGGGCACCTCCACGAAATACGACGGCGCCCAGGGTCCGGTTTGTCCTTCCCGTGTCGGTAGAGTCGCGTAGTCCATCGGCTTCGTGCCGATGACGCGCCACCAGTCCATGGCGGGTCCTCGCAGCAGCGACACGGCGTAGCGAATCTTCGCCGTATCCTCCGAGACGTAGTTGGCGTCGAAGAAGACGTTCAACGTGAACAACCACGCCTGAACGGTAGGACCACCCCGTTGACTCGGGTCAAAGCATGGCGGACGCTGCGGCTTCAGCGGCATCGGCGACGGCAGTGCTGATTCGCCGGCCGGCACAGAAATCATGACGCGATGTTGACTTCTGGCCGCATTCGTCGCTTCGGGGTGTGTCGTGCCGTGGTCGTCGTCTCCGTCGTGGCGGACGACGCCATCACTGGCCGCGTTCGCGGGTTGCCCCACACTTCCGTGTTGCGATGCCTGTGGTGCGGGCTGTACCGGAGTGCCAGGTGCTTGTGATTGTGCTCGTGCGACGTCATTCTGCAGGGAAGTGCGTTCCGCCGTCAGTGCCGCGATTTCTTCAAAGTTTTCGTGCAGCTGGCGCAGCAGTTCATTCAGGCGGTCATGCGTGAGTGTCGTGACGTCGAGATGTTCGGCCATTACGAAGGGCGTCGGCTCGGCTTAGTCTAGGCGCATTCGTGGCTGCACGCGTTTACGAGAGAACGCGCGGACAGCGGCTCCTAGGGGCTAAGGTGCGTGAGTCCCTTCGAGTGAAAAAACAAAAGTTGAGTTCCTGGGGTGCGGAGATGCGCGGTCCGAAAAGAAAGAGGCTCTGAATACCAAGTGTTACGGGTGCAATGAATCGAGATAGCGAGGATTGCACTAAGTTGTCAAACGAGTACAAAATGTGAGCGAAGGCATGAGCAAACATTTATACGCGAAACATGCAAACGGTAACGCGGCGCGTGCGAGCTAGCTAGTGCTACGCTGGCGCGAGGTTCGGGCTAGTCCCGAAGCGTAGGCCGACTCGGCTGCTCCAGCAGTGCGAGGTTTGGTGAAACAGTGCGCGCGAAGTTGGCGAAGCCCCGTTAGCAGTAACGGCCGAACAACGGCTGCTGCTGTACGCGATGTTGTAGGATGCGCTAAGGAATGTCGAGATAATTCCTTACAGGTATCAACAAATGCTGTAAATCATGATATGCTGACTCTCAACAAGATCGTTCAGGTAAAGTAAGGAACAAGCTTGAAAGTAGGGTCGATTAATAATATCACTCCAATGGGTGACTTTTGTTTGTCCATCTCTGCACGATTAATCAAGCTTGCTCTATACGGTAGCTCATTCCGGCATAGCACACATACCACAGTCGCTCTTTAGCTTGTACGTCCCTGGGTTAGGCACCCAATTTTGCGCTGTTCTTTTTTGGGGCACCAAATTGGCCATTGTGGCTCTAGGCTCGGAATCTTTCCGAACGAATTCTTTCAGTAAGGCTACGGCCAGGCTGGCAGCCAGACCTGATAACGTGCCCCGAGTTCAAACAAGATCGCCAAGCCTCCAGAGCCATCAAGCTGTAGGCTACTCAACCGTGCAAAGTCGTTCGGAAACCCACTAAACCGTACTTGTTTAGCAGTCACATTACCCTCCACCAAACCTCACATGAACTATCACAGCAGCCAAGCCACCAGCAAATCGGACACCGCCAACCGAACCGCTTTGCAAGCTGGCTCGTCTTTCCCGCCATTTGTTGTGGCAGCCTTGCCATTTCTGGCCATTTCAGCAAGCATTGAGTTGAGAGCACTACATAGCAGAGTGGTAGACCATTCCAATCTTGCTTCCCTATTTCAACTCTGGTTCCTAGCCTTTGTTGTTCTCGACGATTATTCATCTCTGCCGGTTACCGTTTAGTTGTTGAAACCCGTCGTTCCCGTTTCCTACACGATGAGGAACCTTTTAGTAGTTGCCACTATATTTATGTTCGTCTCCGCATTCTGCGGCGTAGCCTTCGCTTACGATTGTTCGACGCCGTGTCAAAACCCCACGAACACGTCATACGTCGTTCCTGCCTGCACCCAAGCCTGCAACGTACGTCTCTTCTCTGTCCTCGTTATTTCATATATGTTCTTGCTTATCTCGACCAACACGTACTCCTGACAATTGCTAAAAAACCACCCCATGTACTTATCCCACAATTGCCTTCGCCGTTTTCGTATTCCCTGTTTATGCTTTTCGTCGTTGTTAATGCGATGTGCTTCCAAAATAAGTCAATACCAATTCCTGTATTTCCTTCTCTTTTCCCACCTTTTCCTGCCCTTTCGCCCGCATCTGTTCATTTGTCGAAAACGCAATGTCGCGCACGTCACGCGTTTTAACCACTATGGGCCATCGGCCGACACTGAAACGGTGTAACACTGCACCGCATTCCATCGAACTGCGCTGCATTGCTACTTCAGAACTGCGTGGCGTTGACCTATAGTGGCTGTGGTACTTATTTCCAGCCCTACTGGGTCCCTGTGACAAATGTTACTTCTGGCCAAACCGGTACGTCCTCTTGGACTCTCTGATCCTACCCATCCCTCTCCGTCCCTCTTTCCCCATCCTCCATCCCCACCCTTCCCTTCCCCCTTTCCCCCACCGCCCCAACCCCTGTCCTCCACCTCTCGATCTCTCTCTCTTCTTGCTCTCGCTCTCTCTCGCTCTCTCTCTCTCTCTCTCTCTCTCTCTCGCTCTCTCTCTCTCTCTCTCTCTCTCTCTCTCTCTCTCTCTCTCTCTCTCTCTCTCTCTCTCTCTCTCTCTCTCTCTCTCTCGCTCTCTCTCGCTCTCGCTCGCGCTCTCTCTCTCGCTCTCGCTCGCGCTATCGCTCTCTCTCGCTCGCTCGCTCTCTCTCTCTCTCTCTCTCTCTCTCTCTCTCTCTCTCTCTCTCTCTCTCTCTCTCTCTCTCTCTCTCTCTCTCTCTCTCGCTCTCGCTCTCTCTCGCTCTCTCTCTCTTCTCACTCTCTCTCGCTCTCTCTCTCTTCTCGCTCTCTCTCGCACTCTCTAACCGAAGTGTCGGATGTTTCACTACCTTTCACTCACTTTCTTAACGCCTCTGATTACCCCACCGATGTTGTTTACAGCACACACTTACTGTATGGATTTTTTACATGCACCGAACACTTTACATGCGCACAAGCACACACATTATCTATGCTTACTGTTTTTTTTTCCCACCGTTTCCGTTTTTTTTGCACACGCCAGCTCAAATGTACCAGGGAGCTACCTGCAGTCAGTCCTGCAGTAGTGGTCTCGAGTGGTGGGCCTGGCTGCTCATTAGCTTCGCTATTCTCTTCGTGTGCATTGGCATTGGTCTGTGCCTCTACTCATGCCTGGAGAAGAGGGGCTGATGGAGATGCACGGGGAAGGGGAGTTGCAGCTGCATTCTGGTTGACACCAGTAAGAAGTCTTGGAAATCAAACTAGTCTGATGCTGCTGCTTGCTGAGAACATGTGTCCGAGCACATGTTTGTGCTACATAAACCCATAGAAAAATGGTAGTACTGTTCTGGCCAATGCTAATATGCCGCTGTTTTAAATTCAGTAGTTGACATTGTTCTGGGTTGATTCTAGGATTCATCCTAAACCCCAAGCTAGATGGCGAAAGGCCGTATTGTAACGAGTCAAACATATTGTAGGATAGAAATATCATCTTTTGAGAAACGCACCATTGAATCGAATCAGCTACATCAGTCTTCGCTTCAAACAGCTGAAGTCTGCCTTCACCTCATCTGGTTTGCCATTTCGCACAGAAACTCATCACCGCTACCGTGCAGCCAGCGTTTAGTCGACAGATTCGCTGCTGTGCGTTTGTTGACTCTCTTTCAGCTCTCTGTTTGCTCCAAGTTTCCAGCCATGGCGGCTTTCAACGAGGACGATATATTCGACGACGACGGCGGAATCGGCGACGAGCTCGCGTTCATGAGCGCGGACGATATCATTCGCCGATCTAGGTTGCTCGATAACGAGATTCGCGTCCTCAAGGTGGGATGCGAGAGGCCTTCTGATTCGTCTTAATGGCTCTTAGAGTGATTTGTTTGACCGTCTCGAGTGCCGGGTAACGATCGTCGTATCAGGTTTTGCAGGATGCGAGTGGAATTCGAAACCTAGGATTGTTTGCGCAGCCATAGTGTGGAATAGGTTGTTACTCTACTAGGGTCGAACGTTTTTCAGTACGGGGACCGCGCATCTGTAGGCTTGGCTAGCAAACGGAAGTACAGATCTGAATTCGAGATTCAGGTAAGAAATTCAGATCCTTCATTATGCAGTTGACTGTCAGTAGCATCCGTCCTTAGTCTCGTTTATAACTTCGTTGGCCGAGACAGCCATCCGACCTTTCGAGACTAGTAATTTCCTCCTATTCACTTGATCCAGAATTCGGAATCTTGCTCAGTTTACTTGGTCCCTCCCTGACCTCCGTTTCCCGCGGTGGACCAGCCCCGTGCTTCGTGCCAATCATTCAGACTCTCTTTTTCTCCTCGAAGATTCTTCGCAGATTCCTGCGTCACCCACTCTAAATCCGCGCTGCTTGCCTTCTGGCAATTTTGTCGCATCGTCTTCGTTGCTGTTAATCATCCGTTTTCCAGCGCGTGACTTGGAAATACATTCGACCTCTTCCCTTTCTGATACCTGCCTTGAACCCATCTCTTTTTCTCTCCTCCTCTCCTCCCGGTGCAATCAGGACGAGTCGCAGCGCGTGCATCTGGAGCACGAGTCCATGAAAGAGAAGATTAAGGAGAACCAGGAGAAGATTAAACTCAACAAGCAGCTGCCATACCTCGTTGGAAACGTCGTCGAGGTGAGCCGTGTTGACTTTTGAGACGGCTCAAAAGCCAACCAGGAGACAAGCAGCTGCCATACCTTGTTGGAAGCGTCGTTGAGGTGAGCTGCTTCGGTCAGCTCGTTACTAGCATGTGACCACGTCAGCATGCGTCAGCATGTGAGCCTTCTGTAGCAGCAATCACCCTGTGCGTTCGTTGAACCTTTTGACATCTTTAAGTTCCAGTGTTGTTAGACCTCAATTCCACAAGGAATTCATGTCTGCCGCTCTTTCCCTCTCCTGCTCCACTCCTGCCCTACCCCTTCCCCCCGTCCCCTCCCCCTCTCCCCTCCGGCCCGCAGGTCCTGGACGTGAATCCCGAGGACGAGAGTCCCTAGGACGGGGCGAATCTGGACCTTGACTCGCTGCGCAAGGGCAAGTGCGTGGTGCTCAAGACGTCCCCCGTCCCCTTCCCCCTTCACCCCCGGTACCCCCAGGTGCTAGACGTGAATCCCGAGGACGAGAGTCCCGAGGACGGGGCGAATCTGGACCTTGATTCTCTGCGCAAGGGCAAGTGCGTGGTGCTCAAGACGTCCCCCGTCCCCTTCCCCTTTCATCCCCCGCCCCCTCAGGTCCTGGATGTGAATCCCGAGGACGAGAGTCCCGAGGACGGGGCGAATCTGGACCTGGACTCGCTGCGCAAGGGCAAGTGCGTGGTGCTCAAGACGTCCACGCGCCAAACCATCTTCCTGCCCGTCGTGGGGCTCGTGGACGCGGACGCGCTCAAGCCGGGCGACCTGGTGGGCGTGAACAAGGACAGCTATTTGATTCTCGACACGCTGCCTGCCGAGTATGACTCGCGTGTGAAGGCCATGGAGGTGGACGAGAAGCCTACAGAGGACTACAGCGATATTGGAGGGCTGGACAAGCAGGTTCGTGCTGAGAGTGTGCATGAGCTCGTGTGCGTGCTGTGAGGCACTGCACAGATGGGTTGTAGCAGTGAGGGCGGGGCTGTAGCAGAGTATGACTCGCGTGTGAAGGCCATGGAGGTGGACGAGAAGCCTACAGAGGACTACAGCGATATCGGCGGGCTGGACAAGCAGGTATGTGCTTCGCGGCACGTGTGTGCGTGTGCTTGTGCGTGCTGTGAGGCCTAGCACAGTTGTAGCAGTGAGGGTGTGGCTGCAGTGGAGTATGACTCTTCGAGTGAAGCCGACAGAGGACAACATTCCCTAACCTACCCTTTCGCTCCCCTCCTCTCTCCACTCTCTCGTCCCCCTCTCTCCCCCTCTATCATGTGCCACATGCACAGATTTAAGAGCTGGTTCAAGCGGTGGTGCACCGAGGAGCGGTTTGCCTCGCTGGGCATCAAGCCGCCTAAGGGAGTGCTGCTGTACGGTTCCCCTGGAAATCAACCTCTGTTCCCACCCTCTCCTTACGCCTTCCCTCACACACCCCCTTCTCTCTCGTGTGCCCCATACACAGATTCAAGAGCTGGTGGAAGCGGTGGTGCTGCCCATGACCCACAAGGAGCGGTTTGCGTCGCTAGGTATCAAGCCGCCCAAGGGAGTGCTGCTGTACGGCCCCCCTGGTACCGGCAAGACGCTCATCGCCAGGGCGTGTGCTGCTCAGACCAATGCTACGTTCCTTAAGCTCGCAGGGCCGCAGCTCGTGCAGGTGAGGTGGAGTGCAGTGGGATGCTGTGTAATTCGGTGAAGGTGGAATGTGATAGGGGGGAATGTTGTTGTACGCCCCCCCCCCCCCGGCACCAGCAAGACACTCATCGCCAGGGCGTGTGCCGCTCAGACCAACGCCATATTTCTCAAGCTCGCAGGGCCGCAGCTTGTTCAGGTGAGGTTGAGTGCGGTGGAATGAGGTGTAGTTCGGTAAAGATGGGTTGGGATAGGTGAAGTGCTGCTCTACGTCCCTCCCGGCACCGGCAAGACGCTCATTGCGCGGGCGTGTGCTGCTCAGACCAACGCCACCTTTCTCAAGCTCGCAGGACCACAGCTTGTTCAGGTGAGGTTGAGTGTGGTGGGGTGCGGTGGAACCCGGTGGGCATGGGTTGTGATAGGGCATTGGGGCTGGGAGATTCCAGCTGGCCAAGGAGAAGTCTACACCCTTCCACCTCACCACCTCGCCACCTCACCACCTCCATATGCTCCCTACCCGCTCTCTCTTCCCTGAGATGTTCATAGGAGACGGGACGAAGCTAGTGCGAAATGCGTTTCAGCTGGCCAATAAGAAGCCGGCACTTACACCACCTCAGCACATCCATACCTTCCCCTCACCCCTTCCTCCCAGATGTTCATAGGAGACGGTGCAAAGCTGGTGCGGGACGCGTTTCAGCTGGCCAAGGAGAAGTCCCCGTGCATCATCTTCATTGATGAGATTGACGCCATCGGCACCAAGCGCTTCGACAGGTGGGTGGTGGCATTTGAAGCTCTCAATGAGCTCACAGCAGTGAGGGAGGGTTGTCACAGCAGTGAGGAGGCAGTGAGCTGGCCAAGGAGAAGTCGCCGTGCATCATCTTCATAGACGAGGTTGATGCTATTGGCACCAAGCGCTTCGACAGGTGCGTGGTGGCGTTTAGAGCGGGTGAGCAGGATGGCAGTGAGGGGCTGTGGGGCAGGCGGGCTGTGAGGGGCAGTGGGGTGCAGTGCGGTGCGTTCCAGTTGGCCAAGGAGAAGTCCCCGTGCATCATCTTCATAGACGAGATTGATGCCATCGGCATCAAGCGCTTCGACAGGTGGGTGCCATTGACACATTTGAATGCTGGCATAGGGTGCACTTTTCATTCAGTTTGCTGATGCTCTGAAACACCCTGCTCATGCATTGGGTGAGTCGCAGTAGGCGATGCTGTTTGGCACTGTTTGACCCACTTGCTCTATGCCCACTCCCCATATTTCCCCCCTTCCCACCCTCTGCTCTCATTTCACATCTCCCATTCGCCCTCGCCCTGGACCCCAAATACTGGCAGTGAAGTGAGTGGGGATCGTGAGGTGCAGCGAACGATGCTGGAGCTGCTGAGTCAGCTTGATGGCTTCAGCAGTGACGACAGAATTAAGGTGAGACGTCCGTGAAGACAGAATAAATGTCATATGGCCCTCAAGACATATTATGGTGAGATGGAGCTGCTGAGTCAGCGGGATGGCTTCAGCAGTGACGACAGAATCAAGGTGAGACGGCAAGCCAATCACACAGATGGTCATGCTTGCTCAATTGCTGTGCTCTCTGGTCAAGTGCGGTTCCTGCTTTTTCACCTCATCACCTCCCCATACCTCTCCATCTGCTGTCGCTCCTCTGCCAAACCGACTGAGCCTTTCTGCCCTTGTACATGCTCCTGTGCTCATCCACTCGTGGTCTTCAACCGATGGTAGTCATGACCCGAGCAGACACGGGGCGTTTGGAATTGAGGCACCTTGCAACTGTTCCTGCCCTGTCCCCCTTTTCCATGCTCTCATAAATATGACATTCTCACGCCATCAGGTCGTGGCAGCCACCAACCGGGCTGACATTCTCGACCCGGCTCTCATGCGCTCGGGATGACTCAGGCATTTCTGCTGCTCGCCTCTCCCATTCCCTACCCCATTGACCCCCATTGACACCGTTTCTCCATCAGGTCGTGGCAGCCACCAACCGGGCTGACATCCTGGACCCGGCTCTCATGCGCTCGGGGCGGCTGGACAGGAAGATTGAGTTCCCTCACCCCACCGAGGAGGCACGGGCTCGCATCCTGCAGGTGAGGGCTCCTCGTTTTATTCTATCAGCTCTATTTGCGGAAGGTCAATGTACGCGCGCATCTGAATCTTCATTAGCTGGTGTGGTGAAAATGGTAAAGACGTCTCACATCTCATATCTGTGTCTGCTTGCCTCTCCCTCCCCTCCCTGTCAGATCCACTCACGGAAAATGAACCTTCACCCAGAAGGGTGAATTTCGAAGAGCTAGTTTGGCCAACAGGTTTCGAGACATCTCTACTCAAACTCCTATCTGCTTCTAATCGCTTCTCCCCTCCTCCCTCCCTCCTGCCCTCCCGCCCTCCCGCCCTCCCTCATTGTCAGATCCACTCACGGAAAATGAACGTACACCCGGATGTGAATTTCGAGGAGCTGGCGCGGTCAACAGACGATTTCAACGGAGCTCAACTCAAGGCGGTCTGTGTAGAGGCTGGCATGCTTGCCCTGCGCCGCGATGCCACCGAGGTGATTACCTATTCTGACCAAAGTTTTCTTGTGTACATCCCTTGTGCTATCAGCCACTGTACATGCGGCGAGTTTATTTATTCATTTCATTCATTATAATGATTTTCTACACGGGGTGCTGCTAACCAGTGGGTCTTGTGCGTTGGCTTTGATTGCAGGTGACGCATGAGGATTTCAATGAGGGAATTATTCAAGTGCAAGCCAAGAAAAAGGCTAGCCTGAACTACTATGCATAAATGGAACACATTGTGCTATCAATTGTTACGCTATCTGAAACTTGTTTCTGCTCTCAGCTAGTGTGGGTAAGAGAGTACTTTTCCCGCATATATCGAAATGTAACATTTTGTAACTGTTATAACGGTGCAGTAATCACAAAGCGAAGGCATTGCGACTTTCGCTGCAGAATGCTGGGACGCGATGGAGACAGAACCGTGACGTGCAAGTCACTCACAGCGTAGCCTTACTGGTGCTTCCAAGTTCCATTCCAACCAACAGATGTATCGCATGTATAGAAACAACCTGCACGCTAATACTCTTTAGCGCGTACACGTGCAGGTGGTTTCAAATCAAACCTTTGACAAGCACCTTCACCACCCTCACCGTCCTGCTCTAGAACCCTCACCAAGCTCGCTCACTTCCCGCCCTTTCACACACACAATTATTTCTGCTTGGAAAAGCGCCTCACACGGCACGCAATTATAGATGCGGCAGGCAGAGGCTACACCTGCTAACCAACGAAGGGCCCATTATGGACCCGTCATTATTGGTTTCGGCGTTGGTCCAGCCGTATTTTCTGTGTTTTCTCCTGCCCGCCGAACGGGCCACACTGCGCAAGCGGACTCGTATTTAGCGCGTCCGACGCTCCACGGGAGGATAAGCATGAGGGGTCTTTCGTAAGGATGAGGTGAGCGCCGATTTCGTAGTTCCTACCCGCGGCTCCGCTGCGTCGCGACGCGGAGAGACCCATCAGGTCGAGGCTCTCTAGTAGGCTGGGACTGGCTGTATATCTAGCATCAACCCCGGAGTCTACCACAAGCGGTCTTTGCCTTTTCTTATTATTCTCAGCGTTCTCAGTAATTCATCTATCAGGCTGCGTACCAGCAATTCAACCTTTATCAGACTTCTTGATCACCAACCGCCACTCTCGAAGTCATGTCGTTTACTTCCCCCACAATGAGGAGCCAAGTAATAGTGCTTGCTGCTATTTTCACAGTCTTGGCTCACTGCAGTGTAGCAGATTCCGCTAAGACCTCTAAGAAGACCGTTACGTACTACGACTGTAATACGCCGTGTACGAACGCCTCCGGCTTCGTTCCGGCCTGCTACGAACAATGCGCGGTATGTCACTTCGAATCGACGCAGATTTGTATGAGAATTGCCACGAACACTCTTCTGCGCTTTCTTGTTTCACCTGCCCGTCTTTTACCTACCTACCTGTTAGCTCTTCGTGGTGGAAAGTGGAAAAATTAAAGCGCATCGCTTCAATTCTTTCGTCGGAAGAGGCGTGAATTGCTCATTCCTCTTTGCGCAACTTCGGATTGCCTTTTTGCTCCTCCCCCCTTCGCATTACCCCTCTTCTTTCCATGCATATGGACCGCACTGGACCCCTATGGACCTCATCAACCTCATCACCAACATTGCATGACACGGCAATTGATTTTCAAAATTAACGCACTGCAGTCGTGCGTGACCTCAAAAGGCAGCTGCAGGTTCAACTTTCAGCCAAGTTGGGCTGATGTGACCAACGCCGCCACTGGTTCCACTGGTACGTCTTTCTTAATCCCTCCTTCTAGATCTCTCATCGGGTAAGAAGAACTGGTGATACTGACTTGTATCACATGAATTCACTTCTGGTAGTGGGCGTTGATTGAGGCCTGTGGTGACCCATTTATGCTGCTTGCACCCAACCGCTTTATACGGCATGGCTTTAAAAAAAAAAAAAAAAAAAAAAAAAAAAAATCACTCATTTTTTGTCCGATATTCTTCTGTCTCCTCCGTTTCGCCTCTTGTATGATGAACCACCACCAGGTAAAGTGTACACTGGTTACCAATGCCCTATGTCATGCCCTCCTCTTGTGTGGTGGAAGTGGCTACTCATTGCCATCTCCATTCTGGTGTTCCTCATCGGCCTCACAATAAGTATCATCCGGTGGTGCTGCTACTCCAATGTGACCGTTGAGGTTGATGTTCCCAAGGCTGCTGACGTGGAAGCTGCTGTGAAAAACGTAGCTGTACAGATGGAATGTAGCTCCGGGTAGCGTAACGTTGAACAAGTTACAAGCCTGACATTGCTATTTGGTGACACCCTCGCCCTGCTCACAGGATGCAAATACGTGGTAGCTTATACGTCCTTTAGATAAGTAGATGTGTTGATGAGTAGAGAACAGGCCCCTACATTGGTTTTGTAGGCTGAAAATGTCATAAGTTACATGTGGTTGTTAGGCTGTAGTGAGTTTGCTTATACTCTTTATTCA